CCAACATAGCCGGTGGATACTTCCGGCGTTAGTTGTATATATTCTGAGGGGTAAGAATCTTGCCGAATTCGTCCACAGCAAACTGCCGCACCTCACTTGAGGGCGTTTCATATTTCAGAAGGGCCTTGCGGGTGCCCAACTCGTCTTGGTTTAGCCGTCGATTAACTGGAAGCCGGTCGTACGGAAAGTTTGACAACTTGTGGTTATGTTCAAGAAAATAAGAGGTGACTGCCAGTTGGTTCCGTAGAAAAAACCTCACTGGAGAGCTAGTGCTTCGCGTATTTTTTGGAAAATACGCTCGTCTTACTAGCTTCATCGGATTCCCCGACTTTCCGTTGGTCTTGGAGGGCGCCTGCTGTATTTGCAGTACACCCATTCGTAACGCGAAACAGCGTGGATGCCTCGATTACTGGATAAACGCGCAAGTACCTCAAAGTTATCCTTCATGTATTGATTTAAGGCCTTCTCAAATGCAGTGAAGGATAGAAACGACACACCCACAAATTTATCAGCGGACGATTGTGAAGCCGATTCCGAAGCCATAACACACGAAGTTCAAAGCCGACTGTGCACCAATAATTTTCAATATAGAGTTCGATTAAAACAAATCGCAAAAATATTACGGCAGATGAGGGTGATTTTGAACTGAGCACATATGCAAGAAAGTGCAACATTTTGACGTTAAAGTTTTTATTTCACCCACAGTGGTTTTGCAGAAAAATTCATTGGGCGCCGAAGGCGCGGCCAGTTTAACTGTGCATCTTGATCATGATATTTTAACTACCAAATACCTATACTGCGAATTTCTCTACATCATACTCCCGTTTACACCGTTTGTGACGTTGGCCACAGCAAATCTATACAAGGCCGGGTATCCGCAGCAGTAGTTTTAGATTTTAGTCCGAATAGACTAGCAACACACCTTCTTCACTAGATCCGTGGCTCTGATTCCTGATGTTCTGCACTTGCAGGGGAAACAGGATGCTTCACTTTTGCCTTTTACTCTTTGTGTTTTTTGTCCGCCATCTTCAAATTTTGACGATTTGATCTTGCTCAAGCCTGCTGTGTTCCCCAAATATCGGCGAACACCCCAATAATTGTCCCTGTCTCCTACATTTTGTCTAACAATTTAGGAATGACAGNTGAAATGTTTGAGCTGCATTTCTGAGCCCAAAAGGCATAAGAACGAATTCGTATAGACCGAAAGGAGTGGTGAAAGCAGTTTTGGGAAAATTGTCCGGAGCGACAGGTATCTGGTGGTATGCTCTGACAAGGTCTAATTTACTGAAGACAGATTTGCTGTGGAGAGTAAGAGCAAAATCGTGCAGATGCGGAATTGGGTATTTGTCCGGGATAGTGACACGATTTAGTGCGCGATAATCGCCACATGGTCTCCAATCTCCCTCGGACTTTT